TGCTAAGAAGTTTAGATACAAACATATGGCTCAAGTCTGGCAAATTATTCATTTCTGCGGTGCTATAACCTCATACTTTAATATCAACAAGTGAGTTTCGGGTCAGTAAGAAGACAGAATTATATCAAATTTTACTGGCATGTGTTCTAATCCATTTCTGTTTTCAAGCAGAAGATATTACAAGAAGCTTTAACAACTGATGGAAAAATATTATATGAACAAACTTAGAAAAATCAAACTTTCTGTATCAATCTTTCTTTCTTTCATTGTACTTACAATTTGTAGCTTAAACTTAAATATGTTTTGAGTAAATATGTCAGAGGACAAAGAAATTTACTTAACAACATACTTCAGTGGATGGATTCACCACTCATTGAATTGTATATTAAGTCATATAATCATGAATAAACCTGAATAAATGAACAAATAAACAAACAAACCTGAATAAACTGACTATTGGTATGTAGCAACATACAATACAGAGGTCAGCCTAAGCTTAAAGCCAAGACTTTCATGACACCAATAAAATGGACATTTTAAATACAATCTGAAAAATTAACTGCCAAGTTACTAACAGTAAGGAAAATCTTAGAGAAATTACCACGTTCAAGTTTTAAAATTCTGAACCCAGATGCATATCGGAATCACAAGCCTACTTATCAAGGTTATGAAACAAAACAAATCTAAAAAAACAAGAAAACCAATCTCAGGATCATTCCTCCACATGTGACGATGCTACTTCATCTTGGTACTCAGAAAACAGTGAAATTTATGTATAACCCAAATGAGAGTACTTTTGATTTTTAAATATTCAATGACTTCAGGATACTAGAATAGCTCTTAATTGAATTAATACAACTTTAGAGGTGAAGAGCATCTTTATAACATTGACTAAAATGTATTTAATATTTTGGGAAGTAAACCAATTTTTTTTTTACATATATGGAAATGATAATAATGCCACCCTGTAGTTTTTATGCATATAAAATTCTTTAAAATAAATATTAACTAATTTCTTACACACATTTTGGGTGTTCACATTATTGCTCAGATGGAGAGACCCACCCCCCCATCCCCGGCCCGCCCGGGAACTAATATTCTCTGAATACCTAAATCACAAGTAGTCTGCTAGGTGCTTTGACAAATATCATCTCATTAAAAAAAAAATAGTAAATGAAGTTTTATGGTTTTTTATGACCTACCAACCATAAGAACTGAATATTGGTATGTAGCAAGATTATAGAGGTTAGCCTAAGCTAAAACCCATAGCATCTTTAAGAAACGGTAAAGGAAAGAAGAAAACAAACAAACAAACAAAAAGAATACAACATTATATAAAGATTTTAAAAACAAATTTCACCTGACTGGACCACAGATATTCACATCACTGACTTTGACTAGAGTTTCATATTTAGTGAAAGGCATTTATTTATAAGTAGAGGGCAAATAAGTGCTGTAAGGCACGTACAATGGTACGAACATGGCAGGTTTTCAATAAAATACGTTTTACTTCTGTTGATATGTTAATATGTTTGTTGTTCATTTATCAATCTAGTACAAATCAGCCTAAATAAGTAGCATGGCATCGCCCTGTAAAACTTTGGAGGTCCCACCCAAGCTTAGTGTTCTCTGAAGTCCTCCATGACTTATTATCTGTTCCAAGTAATTTAGTACAAGCCTTATATTGTTATTCATCTTTCTACGTTTATGCACTGACTTTTTATGGCTTATATCTTCACAGCTCTAATAATATCGAATACAATTTAATAAGAGGTAGTTAACTACCTCAATTTATAACTACTTGTTATAAATCCTATGTTTCATGAGATTATATCTTATCAACTATGTTCTGGAAAGAGAACTACACGTGTTTGCTCAGCTCTGCTGACTCGCCATTGCTTGCAGAATAATAACCAAATTCCTGTGTATGGAACTCAAAGCCCTATCCTGTGGCCCTATGCTAGACCTCCATCCTACCTACATTCCAGCCACTACCACAGAGCATTTGCCAAACTCATTGTATACTTTTGTACCTCCAAACACTGGTCAGTATGATTCTTTCTGCAATTCCAGATGGCACACACTTACTTATTCTGCAAAGCTCACCCCATCAGCTCTTCGGTGAAGCTTTCCCAGAACCCACCACCACTCCTACCACCACCCCTCAAACCCCTGCGGAGGGCAAATCCTTCTTCCATTTGGCAGCCACTTTTATTAAAGTACTTCTCTCCTTTAGTAAAAGGAAATTATTGTTATTAGTCTGCCTTCTCCTTTGTGAAACTTTCCAAGACTCCATTATTATTATTATTATTATTATTATTATTATTATTCTGCTTCCTCTTCTGTGAACTCTCTAAGCCTCCCATATCCAGAGTTAAGCACTGCATTTATTGCCCAACCCTGTCCCTCATACGTAATTCTCTCCCAGCACATAACACAGCACCCTGGCGTTACTTATCTTTATAATTACCTGCCCTACACAGATGTAGAGAACAAACGTATGGACCCCAAGGGGGGGAAAACCGCGGGGGGGTGGGGGTGTGTGTGCTGAATTGGGCGATTGGGATTGACATGTATACACTGGTGTGTATAAAACTGATGACTAATAAGAACCCGCTGTATAAACAAACAACAAAACAAAACAAAAAATAATTACCTGCCCTCTTAGACACTGTGCTCCTTGAGGACATCATCTCATTCATCATTGCACCCCCAGAGCCTAGTCAGCACTTGATACACAGCAGATGTTCAATAAATGTTATTAAATTAATAAACAAAATACAATTGCTTTCTGCCAAATCGGAAAAGAACTGGTACCGAGCATTCCGTTTAGACCCCTGCCTCGTTAGCATTCAAGCAGAAACCTTGCTCTCCAGTGATTAAACAAGAGCAAACCAAAGTGGATGTGCAGAAAGTAAGGTGACTGAAGGAGCTGGGGAGAAGTCAGGCTCCCAGCAGGGCAAAGGTAGGCCCTTTCCATGTTGAACGGTTCCCTCACGTTAGCTCCAGGAGGGTTATCTACACAGCAGTGACTGCTGTAAGCAATGCTTTGCTAACCTTCAGTAAGATGATCCCTAATGAAACTGCTTCCTCACCCCCACTAAGTGACAGATAAATGTCCACTTTTGCATAGACATTTCCTTAGAGAATAATCGACTGGGAATATAACAACTACATGTATTTTTAACATCAGTTAATTATACAAAAGCATGTAATATATATAATTTTTAATAAAAAGAACACAAACCAGAATTAACGTGGCATGATGTTAAAAAATTACTGTATCCTAACATGCCTGCTCTATATCACAAGAAAATATCTGTACACATGTATACTACAGCAAAATCTTTTTCTATGTGTTCTTGATTTAACTTCTGGATGGCATAAATCAGAAACAGCAAAATGAAGAGACTAGGATGTAAAACCTACTATAAATATGACGAAAGATATGGGAAGATGCAGAGTACAATTAATTCAGCAAATATTTTTGAAATGCCAGGAAATACAAAAGGCATAAAGATGCATAGTGTAACGCTACTGCTTTCAGGAAACTTAGAGTCTGAAATAAAGCCTTCCACTACAATATACTCACAGAACCGAGCAAATATAAGTAAGGATAGCACTGAACTTGTCTTAAAAAGGAAAATGTTGTGTAACTATGACAAACTGGTGGCTCTGTTTTCTACAAAAACAATTATCTTCAACAGATTTTAACACTCTTTCTACTGAACACATGGAGGT